AAATAGCTTAATCAATAAGACAAACAAATTTTTTTTAATTATTATTTTAATAGTATTTATAGGTTATTATTTTAGATAAATACTATAAAATAAAAATGGAATATTAAAATGTCATTTACTTATTATCTTTAAAAAAAATAGTTATATGTTATTTTCTTAGGATGGCCAATTAAACAATGTAATCAAAGTAAAATATTTTTCTCCGTATAAGTTATAATTAAGTCACACAATTATGTTATGATATATTTAAAATCATAAATTTAAATACTTTGCTCCATCTGTTATAATATTTATCTAGACTATATATACAAATTGCTTAGAATATAAATAATTTTTTTCACGTATATATCAAACATAATTTTTTTATAAAAATATTTCCCTCCTTACCGAACATATTATTCTTAGTCAATTTCCTTTAGAAGAAAAAGAGAGTAAATTAGACAAAAATAAAATAAGAGGCTCTAATATTAAGTAGCTGAAAACAGTAGGATTTAAGGCAGTATAATAATATTTTCCTAATTGGCTGGCACCAAAAAGGGCAATGGAGACCTAATAATTTAGCCAAACCTACAAAATAGGGTGTTTCTTTTTCTGCTCTTTCTACATCAATATTTAAGAGAGTGCAAAATCTCTAATTTCAAAATTCACAGAAAATTATGATTCATTTATTTTTCTTGATTTCTTTTGTTCTGTTTAATTAAAAAAAAATTGACAAGATTTTCATTTAAAAGTCTTTTTAAAATTTTCTTAAATTTTATTTCAAGCAATAGTATGTTTTTTCTGTTTACTCGCTTTTGAATCAAGACATCGTACATGCATACTCTATATATGAGAGCTAATTAAGATGTTCATGTTAAATCAGTTAGTGTGGAGATGGAATTTTAATTAATTTCCGATAGATATCGCATCGTTATTAAAGAATCTCTCGTGTAAAGTCAAATATTTCCAAATAAGTCAATTTTCGATGGACCTACTAGGTAATCATCTAAAAAAATAGGCCATCCTTATCTTAGTATTACAACTAATATGATCTGTAGGTAAATTGACTTTCCAATTAAATTGGGAAAACAATGTAACGTAGCTACACAACGGTTTGGTAATTGGTACGTATAACTAATATTAAATGTCATTTTAATCGTCCACATCTAATTATCGCGTGAGTTAATTTGATTAATTTTTAAAATTAAATTAAAATTATATTAATTTGATATTTTTAAAAAAAATATATCCAAAAACTTTGAGTCGTAGGTATTTGGAGGGCATATATATGAGTTACAACAAGTTTAGGAACATATTTATATATTATAACTTGTAATTTTAGTATTATATGTTATTTTGATTTGACATACGGTATATGTGTTTAAAATTTTGATATAAAATCATAATTTTTAAAATTTATAAATAAAATTATTTAATGAAAATTTTAAATACCATACCGTAGTATATCATATCATGTCTGATCCACCCTACTACTTAGGTTATGGGTTCCTTCTAATTCTACATGCTTATAAGATACTTTGCTCAAAGGTCAATGCAAACATTGATTATGTTTCTGCATTCGTTTTGAAGAGAATAAAATAGAAATAGAGATAAAAATTCAATATTTTATCGTATTAAAGTGATAAATAGTCTTATCTTTTAATAAATTTTGAATCTGTAATATTATCACCAAATTGTTTGGAGTATAACAAAAAAAATAGAACTCTAATTTTCAACGTAAATCCTAATTAATCAGATCGCTTGATCCACTTATCGATTTAATTTGGTTTTCTTTTAACGAAAGAACCCAACATGTGGTCCAAACTTGTGAAGTACGTTAAGCGTCTTTTGTCATTACCTAAAAATCTAAATTAGCTAATCATTATTATCTATAGTAACCAAACGTGTATTTAAGTCGCTTAAATTTTTTTTTACCAAATAAAGATCGATCGTTCTTAAAATATATAATATTTCCATTTTCACATTTTTCGAATATATTGAACTTTTAGTCCACTTAAAAATTTACTCTTTTTACGTAAGCTTTTTAGGTTAAATATCTGTCAATTTCAATATGCAACTAATATAACAAAGCAAATAATAATATTTGAATTTGAGTCTTAATATCACACTTACTATCAAAAATAATTTTCACGTGTTTTGAACCACAAAATTAATCAAACCTCTCCCCAAGGGGATGTATTGATTGTCGTTTTTCTTTTCTTTAAATAAAAAATCTAAATGGAGAAAAATAAAAATTTTGAATTAAGTTAATTTGCTAGATTGAGGAATGCTTTTGTAAGTACGTATAGAAACATATCTTCTAGCGGAGGTTTTAACCAAACTAAGTCTTTATATAAAGCCATTCACCAAAATAATATGTTTTTTTAAAATTTTACAAAACTAGTATAAACGTATTCCACAGTAACGTTTTAGGATATATTTTATTTTTTAACAGTTGATGGCGTCAGATTGATATACGTTACTCACAGTAACATTTTACTCCTACAACGTTACTCACATTAACATTTTAGGGGTAAAACGTTACTGAAAATAACGTTTTAAAAGTAAAATGTTACTTACAATAATGTATATCAACCTAATGCTGTTAGTTTTTAAAAAATAAAATATACCCTAAAACGTTACCGTAAAATACGTTTATACTAATTTTGTAAAATTTTAGAAAAATGTATTACTTTGATAAATTATTTTATATAATGACTTAGTTTGGTTAAAAAAGAGTTGCGAAGAGAGTTTCATTGTTCAACTTGCCTGCATATTTAGATAGGTCAAATATTTTGATTGATTTATTTTGTGGACTAAATTTATTTTATTTTCTAATTTAAGTTAGTTGATTTCCCAAATTCTAATATTTTCTGCGCGAAAATTTTCATATATAATTTGTTAACTAAACTTTCTTTCACAAACGGTAATTACAGTTCTGAATAAACACTATCTTTAGAAAAGTCATGTCTGCACCATTTGAGATCCAAACCTGTGGTTATTTATTTAGAATCTTAGTTTCTTTTTTATCATTTTAAAATAAGTGAATTGTTAGACTTTTTATATTTTAAATGACTATTTACCACAACACAGAGACTAATAAATGCTTTCAAATATGTTGGACGATAGAATATTCATTGCACTTATTAATCTTGATAACGCCGTGCACGATTAAAATTTAGAAGTACAAAAACAATTTGCTCTTCGTTCAGTATTTAATTAGCTTAATCAATAAGACAATAACATGTGATTTTATATAACATTTCATCACTTAATTAAATAATATTGATATATACTCTCATTTCTATTTTAACATAATCTTTCTTGTACATACATAGCAAACAAGTGCAAGTATATTTCGGGTATATTGCATTCACCAAAATAGCTTTGTTCGTTTTTTGAAATTTGCAACGAATCAATATTTTAGAAGTAAAACTTTTCAATTGCGTGAAAATATTTTTTATAATCTTTAATTCTTTTACATGAACGTAGCTTGATTCGACTTTATAAAAGAAGGTGACAATATAAGTTCTACAAAATGTTAGATGTAAAGTAACGAAAATAAAATGAGTTATGTGTAACTTAAAAAAGTGGACCATAGCAGCTAAGTTAGAGGGTGTGATTAGGTTAGACAATCCTTAAATAGGTCATGCTTTTAGATATGTATATTATATGTAAAAAGATTTCAGCTATTTCACCATATAATATAAAAAATATTAAATAAAGATATACTATGCTTTTAGATATCTATATTATATGTAAAAAGATTTCAGCTATTTCACCATATAATATAAAAAATATTAAATAAAGATATACTATAACAAAATTGTGAATTACATGGGAATTTGTATGTAAATTTGTAGGAAACTGATTTTTTTGCGGATTTTCATACTAATCCCCAAAAAAATATCCTTGTAATTTACATTTTTTTTGTACTAGATTATTGCGATCTTTTTTTTTTCCTTTTCCAAATAATAGATAGTGAAAGTACTATTGCTAATTTGCTATATAATGGATTTGAGAAAAAAAGTTGTGTTTTGCTTTAGAAACTGTTATTCTGTCTTGGGCATGAATAGAAGGGTGACTAAAGAATTGAGATTAGTTGAATTCAAATATGTCAAATATTGAGTCATAAATTCAATTGATTAATTTTAAAATTTTAACTTCTTTAATTATCAAACACAATTTGTTCTTTCATCATATCTATATAACAAACATAGTAAACAAAAAAGTTTCAAGAAAAAGATTTTGTTAGCAAAATTTCCTACGGTAGTCTATTGTTGTAAAATCGATTTCTAAATAAATTAATTTAACGTTATCATGTCATGTTTGTTTGCTATATTTATAAAAAAAAAATATACCTTTAGAGTTTCATAACTATTACTTATTTTCTTTTACGTACGCTAACTAAATATTAAGGTGTACTCTAATAAAAAAAATAATTCTTGAAAAAATTACAAGATCCACCTTGTTATCATGGAACTTACCTAAATATACTTTATGCCTTTTTTTTTTTTATCATGTTATTTTTTTCTCGGTGTTATATTTAGGGTTTTAGAAAAAAAAAATTCTTAAATAAGTATGAGAAAATCAAATATTAAAATTGTACTTTATTAATTTAATTTATAATTTTTAAAAATTTAATACAATTAATTTAATTTGATATTTAAAAAACTTTAACCAACTCTATTTATGTACACCTACTATTTGTACTTTGAAGTGAATTCATTCATTTATTAAGTACTCTTCTCCCTGCATAAATAAATAGCAGCACCAATATGCACTATTCCACAACAATTCCCACATTTACTTATTCTCTTATTAAATAATTAAAAAATTATACTTCTTGCCCTTTACATCATTTTTCTTTTTTTAAAAAAAATGAATCACTTTGCGATCAAATCTATAGAAACCCCATCTATGAAATCTGAAAAACACTTCATTTTTGCCCAAATTTTGTTGAGGATTTTGGCTACTGCATTCACTTTGACTGCCGCTTGCATAACTTTCAAAAGCGCACAGACGCTCAGTGTTTTCAATGTTGAGACCGATGCTCGATATACATATTCTCCCGCACTCAAGTATTTCTTTTATTTTTTTCAAACTAGCATTTGATTATAAATTTAGTTGAAATTTTGAATTATTATTTTTAATTGTGAGCGAAAGTGCAATTTCATCCAAAAACTGGTCTAGAAGAGTTATTGGAACTTGAAGAGATCAACAGTGATCAAATATCATTGCAAATAATTTTTGAAAATCTACAATTAAACGAGAGCTTATATTCTGTATTGAAGTTGTATGGGATTTTATTTTTTTTGGTATGTGCAGGTTCTTTGTCTATGCAAATGTCATTGGATGTGCCTTCTCATTTTTTTCTCTATTTCTTGCTTCCATCTTTGGATGTACGAATCTTCACAAACACAAGTATTTTTACCTTTTCATTCATGATATGGTACGTCCTACCTTTTAATTATTTTTTGTTTGCTTTTGCACATAATCATTTTTAATTGATAAATCAATAATATTTTATTATAGGTGAGGGAATTTTCTCCAAATCAATATCTTGCTTTGCTTTTAAGTTATTAATATTCAACGTATTTGTTCCTCTCGTAATGTTTGAGGTGATTAGGTCATCTGCTCATCTTTACATATTGTAACAAATTTCCTGATGAAATCGGAAAAATAAATTTCACAAGTGGCGTTTTGTTGTTTTTACCCTATTGAGGAGTAAGAAATTTCAAAGTTAAGAATTATGTTTGGTCATAATTTTTAGAGAGAAAATTTAGATTTGAATGTACTTTTTTAAAAAATATGATTTATATTTATGATTTATAAAAACTACCAAAATCATCCGACTTAACTAATTAATGGGGTCTAAAAGTACACCATTGTATCTGCTCTGAGAGAGTAACATCTCAAAATGGTTAAAACAAAATTTATAAATTAGATCTCATATGCAAATTATTACAAATACTTTTACACTTCATTTGAATTTCTAAAGATGGAGTTGAAGACGAAATTGTGTTAGGTTATAATTTTTGCAAATAATAGTTAGTTGTTTAAATGTTATTTTTTTTTTAAAAAAAAAGAACATTAAATATGAAACATAATTAAATGGATTCATTAAACATAAAAATAAAAAATAGGATAAATTTTAAAAAGAAAATTATAGTAAAAAGTGAAAATAAGATTTAGGTGTTCTTCAAATTTTATTTGAAACTTTCATATGATCAAACGTTGATTTTCAAATGAATTGAAAAACTTTCATGGTTAAACATATCCTACACATAAAACTAAAATTTTGATTAAATTAAACGATGTAATTTTCTGATAAAAGACGATTCTGCCACTAACTCAACCCTCACCCTTTGACCATTCCATCGCTACCACCCCTAAATTCTCATTTGTTCTACGTTTTCGTAGTCGATATAATCAATATTTCAAAAAAATTCTCTTAAGTATATATATAAGAAGAATGTTTGACATAAATGGCCCAAAGCATCATAATCATTCTTCTCTTATTATCTCTTTATTTCTTTTGGGACCGTAAGCATTAGTAACCCCATCCACGTGAATCCAAAACATAACATATATTCGTACATAAAATATGAAACATAAATCATAATACATCAACAATTAATCTTAGAATAACGACCCAACTTTAAAAAAAACCTAGAAATTATATAACATTCGCACACATTAAAAAAAAAGAACAACTATACATAAATTATTTTGAATATCATAAATATCCTTCATTCTTCATCATCGATATATGAATAAAAATACTCATTATTCATATCGCTTCATAAAATACGCTACGTAATATTATTTGTATATAACATGGGGAATATTATTGCAGATTATGATGGATCTATTGCTTTCTGCATGTTCAGCAGCAGCAACAATTGGATATGTAGGAAAATATGGACAGATTCGTTCAGGATGGATGCCTATTTGTGATTCTGTTACAAAATTTTGTCATAAAATGACAGCCAGTGTTATATTCTCTATTTTTGGGGTTATTTTCTATTTATGTCTTACTATTCTATCAGCATATCAATCTAGAAAAATTCAAGTTTGAACTTAATTATTACCACTAAGAAATTAAAAAACAAATGGCAAAGTATATAATAGTAGTAAAAGTTAATTCTACCTTGTTGTATCAAGAAAGGTAAAAAAAAGAAAAGCTTGTGTAATGCAGATGCAGTTATTATTAAATATTGAGAAAATACCCAAGTACCCTCTCAACCTATGCCAGAAATCCCAGAGACACTTATACTATACTAAGGTTCTATTACCCCTGAACTTATTTTATATGTAATTTTTTACCCCTTTTTAGCCTACGTGGCACTAGTTCGGAAGAAAAAGTCAACCATCGTTGGGCTCACAAGATAGTGCCACGTAAGCTAAAAAGGGTAAAAAATTATTAATAAAATAAGTTCAGGGGTAATAGGACCTTAGTATAGTATAAGTGTGTCTCTGAGATTTCGAGCATAGGTTGAGGGATACTTGGGCATTATACCTTAAATATTTACAGTTGCGGATTGTACTATATTTGGTGGAATTATAAATGACTTGTATTTAATTTATTTTTACTTCTATATATATTTACGCAGTGAAGTTATTAAATTATTGCAGCTACTCCCTGGCTATATTTGTACGTAGTACATTTTTAGAGGCAGATATGGTGTCTTATATAGTTTGTTTAATTTTCTGGACCATTTTTAACTTTACAACATTTTAGTAATTATCTGTTTTTATTTATATGAAACTATTTTTTATTCGTTTGAAGTAAGATTGACATATTTTTATATTTAATAAAAAAATAATAAATATATAAATATTGTGATACGTTTAAAATTCAAAAGTGTTTTATAACTACACAAATGTAGTTTAACATAATTAATTAATGATAAGCGGAAAAAAAGATTAATGGTACAAGTCTACAAGATCACAAAATTCTATCTTTTTCATCTAATATGAAACTCTTCAGCATTCCAGCTCACACTCAGGCTCGTCTTAATTCCAAAGTTACAAAATGTTATCGCTTGAGGCCTCATATTTTTGGAAGTTTTCGTACATAAAATAATCTTTTGACTTGTGAATGATATTTGTTAAAAGAAAAATTGTGAAGAGTAAAAAATATTTTTAAACTATGTGAAAGAAATAATAATATTTTTCGTTTATAGTCTGACTCAATAATATCTCTATCGTCAACATTTTGATTCAAAATTACCTTTGCATTCAATATACTATAATAAAAATAACTTTTAGCGGCAATAAATATAGACATTAATAAAGGGTGCTGAAGTTTTTACCGACATTAGTTAAGCGTCATTAAAACCAATGAATAAAGGGTGCTGAAGTTTTTACAGGCATTAGTTAAGCGTTATTAAAACCAATGTCACTAAAGGCTTAAAAAACATACATACAAAAAGTGTCAATTACCATTAAACATATTTAATGATCATTTTTTATAGAGTAATATTTTGGTCTAGATATACCCATATTCGTAATTTCCTCGGAAGCACTGTAACGTTTAGTATCTATCTTTTTATTCATATTTTTTATCTTTTCTTTTTCTTAGCTCATTTAAGATATCTGGAAGAAACTTTTTTCAGTAAAGGTTCAATGAATTGAAAAGAATTTACTACAATATTTGTATTATTTCTGATATACTAATAACCTTTGCAAGAATAATTAATAATAGTAACTATTTCTCCATTAATCTTCGTATCCAATAAAATTTAACACAAATATATTAACTACACTTTTGAAAAGAGGTGTTGGGGGTTGGTTGGTACTTGGTGAAAGAAATTAATTCTTTTTATTGACACTGTATTTATAAGATTTAAGGATTTTTAGAAATTTAAAAAGGGCTAAAATAAAATACAGAATAAATTAAGAAAAAATAACAGAAATTTCACTTTTAATTTCTCTTATTATTATTATTTTCTATTAGTTTTATAAATTCTCAAAATTCCTTATTTTCACGCATAAGATTAATGTATCAGCACATCAAATTAATGTATCTTGCGCATCAGATTAGTGTATCATATATAAAATATAATGTATCTTACTTAACGATTAATGTATCTTGCGCATCATATTAATTTATCAGCGTATATTATTGTATCAGTTTGAGGAATTTTGTAATTATAAATTGATAAGGGACAAGTGATTTTATTTTGCCTTAAAATTATGTTATTGAAAAATTGAGTTATTGTGATTTTTGTGTTAGTAGTGTGAAAGTTTTCTAGTAAAGTATTTTTATTTTTAGAAATAATTTATAATACATAATTTTAATAAAATCATAATTTTGTGATCATTTATGAAATTTACCCCATAACTACTCCATTCTCTTTAGTCTTTACATTTATAATTTGTTCTTATCTTCTCCTTAAATACTAACAACAAAAAATTAAATTTAACCTCCTATTTCACAACTATCTAGTCTTTTTTAGTGCTTTGATTTTATTTACTTTTTTTACCTACAATTTTTTTTTTCTCAATTTCTCATAATGGAGATATTTGGAGGCAAGATTAAGCATGACCCTTCTCTCAAAACTCAAAAAGTTATGTTAATTTTTCAAATTATTTTGAGAATTTTGGGATTTACTTTCTGTTTAGGCGCTGTTTGGAGAATTATGACTAGTAAACAGGTTCTCGTTCTTGGCATTGAGGCAAATTACACCTATTCTCCTACAATGAAGTAAGTAATTACATGAAAAATTATAATTCATTTAGATTGAATTTCTTTTTTCAATAAAATAAAATAAATCTTTTACCCTCATTTTGCAGATTTTTTGCATATGCAAATATGATTGGATGTGCCTCATCTATTGTTGCTCTATTTCTTCTTTTGGTTTGTTGTTATAAGAAATATCTCAACTCTAACAAGTACCTTTTTTACTTGTTCCTCCATGATTTGGTACGTCCCCTCCTTTATTTATTTGCGAGTAACTTTATTTCATATATTCGAGACAAGTAAAATGAAATAGAGAGTATTAAAATTAACTTTGAATCCTAGTCAAAGATCCTTTAGATAGAAATAAAAAATGAAGGAAAACATTCGTCTAAGGACATAATAATATGTCCAAGAAGCCAACAATATCATCTACAATTAGCTTATAAATGATTTGATTATGTAAATATATTTTTATCGGTCAATTCATAAAACTTAAAATAGGTAGTTTCATTACTAGTAATTAAAATTCAATTATAGTATTAATTGAATGGCAGATTGTGTTTGGATTACTGGTGGCTGGATGTGCATCAGCAACATCAATAGGATATGTGGCTAAATATGGGCAAAAATATTCAGGGTGGAATCCTGTATGTAACTATGTTACTAAATTATGTCACAAAGCTACAGTCAGTGTAACTTTATCTTACATTGCTATTATTTTCTACCTTTGCCTCACTATAATCTCAGCTAACCAATATGTATTTCACTAATATTTGCGTGATTAATTAGTGTTTCATGTAATTTATTATGCTTAAAGAGGATGGTGTACTTTGAGATAAATGAAAGAAACTATAACCTTTTATTACTATTCTGTGTTATAAATTTTATTTTATATCTGATGTCTAATGTCTGATATTCGCATTAACACCTGATTAAATCTGAATTCGTATTGAAAAATTTTATATTTAAAAATGTTTTCCGAACAAAAACGATTATTTTGAGTATTCATTCCCTCATATTGGATTCATTAAAATCCCTCAGAAGTGTTTTAAATGGCAGGAATAGTATTCTGAGGTTTGCCTCTCATATAAGGGGCTTTTGCCCCTTATATGAATTAGCATGAAAACTAAGCCTCATAAATTTGAATTTTAGAAAAATAATTTATATATATATATATA